ACAATATTGTTTCTGTTTTATATTTTGGTTTTTGGGTTGTTTTTTTTTTTTTTGCTGTGAGGCCTGTGGGATCTTAGCTCCCTGAGCAGGGATTGAACCCACACCCCTCCGTGTTGGAAGGCAAAGTCTCAACCACCAGACCACTGGGGAATTCCCTGATAGTCAGTTCAGTTGTTCAGTTGTGTTCGACTCTTTGCGACCCCATGGACTGCAGCACGCCAGATTTCCCTGACCATCGCCAACTCCTGGAGCTTGCTCGAACTCATGTCCATCGAGTCGGTGACACCATCCAACCATCCTCTGTCGAACCCTTTTCCTCCCGCCTTCAATCTTTTCCAGCATCAGGGTCCTTTCCAAGAGTCAGTTGTTCACATCAGGTGGCGAAAGTATTGGAGTTTCAGCTTCAACATCAGTCCTTCCAGTGAACACCCAGGACTGATCTCCTTTAGGATGGACTGGTTGGATCTCCTTGCAGTCCAAGGGACTCTCAAGAGCCTTCTCCAACACCACAGTTCAAAAGCATCAATTCTTCAGCGCTCAGCTTTCTTCACAGTCCAACTCTCACAATTCGTATATGACTACAAGAAAAACCATGGCTTTGACTAGACAGACCTTTGTTGGCAGAGTAATGTCTCTGCTTTTTAATATGCTGTCTAGGTTAAATGGAATATGATCTATAAAAATATTAACTCACCATGCTATACACCTGAAACTAGTGTAATATTGTAAATCAACTATAGGCAAATTTAATAAAAAAGATAAGAACTGCACCGTAAAAACAAACAAATAACCTTAATCTCTCCTTCAGAGCCTCCCATAAGCTGAACTAGAAGCCAGAGGGCAAGAGAACCCTACAGAGGCTGTCCACAGCCGGGCACAGAGAGAGGGGTGGAGAGTGGCTCTGGGAAGGTGCCAGTATATCTAGGCAAGTGGGGATGGAGAAGAGTCAGGAAAGGCCCTCTCCTGTGATCCCTGCATAGGGACCCTCCTGAATATGGTTAAGCCATAGACTCTGAAGCCAGCAGGCAGAAGGCAAGGGGGCTGGACAGAGCCTGAGATGCCCCTCCATCACCAAGAAGCTCCAGGAGGCTACAAGACCCACAGCAAAACAGGGGGAAGACAGAGGCTTAGGTCTGGGTTCCCAAAGACTATTCTAGAAGGGTGCCGTGGTAGGTGAAGGTTTGGAGTGCTGGGATAACACAGGGACTCTTGGGCTGGAGATGGTGGTCGGGATGCTGGAGGAAGATGGCCCCCAGAGGTCTTCTGGCTCACGTGGTACCTCTCCAGGGCACTCCCTATGTCCCTGCTGGTCACCCAGTCTCTGCTTGATCACTTAGGTGTTAGGGAGCACAGTAGTCCAGGGGATGGCTCTGACCATGAGAAAGACCCGCTGCTGAGCTAAAGTCAACCTCTTTGCCTCTGGCCCAGCAACTTGAGGGCACATTGAATACCTTCCTACATCCAAGAACAGTTTCCTCACTCCTCTGGGTCCTTAACCACCTCTCAAGGTGATGACCTGCGACCATGACCCTCTGAATGTGGCCCCTTTCGCCATCGGCTCTCTGGAAATATTTTTCATACATCCCCCCTCCCCCATGCCTGCTTTTACCTTAGAGAATGGAGGAGGCGGCCTCCATTGAGCTGGACAGTTTATCAATGGCATTAGTTTTATTTCAAGAATCAGGCTGAACAAGTGGGTATTTATAAGTTTTGTCTCAACAGCTCCCTGAGCTAAATAGGCAGGGACTGGAGGCTCAGAAAGACTCAACACCACCCCAGGTGACACAGCCCCAGGCGGGGCTGCAACCACGCCCAGGTCTGCACCTCCAGGCCTCCTTCAGCCACAGGGACCCAGGGCCCCTGGCTCTGTCTGGGGGGCTTCTTGTACAGAGGCAGGGGGAGACCACGCTGCAGGGCTGGGGCCGCACTGTTTGCTCTGTTCTAATGGGACAAGGTTTAAATGATGCAGCTTGTCACAGCACAGTCCTTCTGGGATGGCACATTTCTAGACCTGGGGAGAGTCCTTCCCTGGAATACGCAGGGCAGTTAAGCTCAGGAGTGGAGCTCTTCTCCTGCCCAGTTCTCAGCCCCACTCCCCTGACCCTGAGAGGGGCTCCAGTGGTGGGCTTGGACTTGCCCTAGAGGACGTCATGGCAGCGGGGGCTCCTCCAGTCCTGCGGCACTTTATACAGCTGCATCTCAGGGCCTGAAGCTTCCATGAGGTAAATGTGCCTGGGGAGAGGTTTTGCTTTTTTTTCTATCTTCGCCCCAATCTCCTTTTTATTTTCTGGATAAATGTCACCATATTTTAATCTCACATCTGAAATCTGGCTCCTGAAAAGCCATTGTCCAAGCTCACCTAACCTCAAGCGGTACTCTTCAGGGGCCCCAGTTCCCACAGGTGTTCTCTCCCTTCCTTGCTTTACGTGAAAGGAGGGCCCAGCCTCCATGTTTCCCTAGGGCTAACATCTGCTGGGTATTAAGGGATTCTTAAACATGGACTAGGGTGGCAAGCCCTGGGAGGATATCTCAGCTCTGGGCATCAACCCTCTCTTAAACCATATGCTCCCTGGGGCTTGGTGTATTCCAGAGGTCGGTAGGGATATGATTAGAATCATGGGGAGAGGTTTTAAAAGATGCTCAAGCTCCACCCCCACAGGTTCTAGGATTCAATTTATCTGGGGAGAGAGATGCTAGCCTAGTAGAGCAAGCACTGCTAGACCCAAGGTTGTGTGACCATGGGCATGTCATTTCCTGTTTCTGAGGATAAAAGACAGAGGCCTAAGGCTCAAGACCTGGGAAGTGAGTCCTGGGGAGAGCAAATTAGAAGTTGGAGTTTCAGGAGATGGGGAAAGAGAGTTGGGCTTAGAATTCCAGGCTGCTTCTGGGCAGGGAGCTCCAAGCTAGAGTGGAGGCAAGGCTAGGTCACACTTCAGAACCCCAAACTGGCTGGGCAGGAGTCAGGGCACAGAGCAACCAGGCAAAGCAGTGGTCTGACGTGAGGGCCAACGGCACCCACACATCACCTGGATAAATGACGGAAGGTCTGGCTGATTCCAAGTTCAAGGGGGCTTTCTCCTGGGATAGGTCCTTCCCCACCACCCTAGATAGTCCAGTGCACCAGACACCAGAAATGGAAGAGGGAACCTTGGCAGGAAGGCTTGGAAATTAAGGGGAAGAAAGGGGTCAACTAGAAAATCCAGTGGTTTAGAAATCGGGCCTGGAGATGTCCCTGAAGACTGATTAGGATCATGAGGGGGACACCGAGTTCAGATAGAGGTCTGTCCCTCCCTCTCCTCAGAGGTGGGTAAAGGCTCTGCTGAGGGACAGATACCAGACAGGACACTCAGAACAAGGAGTTGCCTGGGTGGCTGTCTTCCTGTGAGGCCAATGCCAAGACCTTCGAGGCCTGGACAACGGGCTCCACATGCACCTCCTTCACTACAAAGAGCTGGATTTGCCTTGCAACCTAGCTCTCGCTTCTCACAGCAACGGTTTCACTCTCCCTTGCTTCTCCACCTTGCACACCAGTGGTCCATGCATGGGTTAGAAGGGCAGAGGCTTGTATGGGAACTTAAGTGCAGTGAGGCTTGTAAGAACTGGGTTGACAGTTTTAGAACAAGTCCTTACAGTTAGAAAGTGAGCAGAGGGGAGTGGGGGTGGGTGTGAGCGGTGGTGTGGAAGGAGATGGGCAGGCCTGTTTTTTTCTTCAACTAGGCTGAGAAGAGCCAAATAAATGTTAGCCTTACCTCAAGGCTGTACTACCTGATGGCCGTTAACCTTGAAAGCTAAGGGGTAAACTGTGTTAAGTTTCACTTCCCCTGAATATCCTCTAGAAAACCTTTCCTAAAAACTCTAGGCCCACATGAATTTGCCCTTCCTGGAATCCTATAGCACCATGGTTCTCAAAACTCAAATACATATCAGAATCATCTGGAAGGTAGAGAGGGCATGACATCTTGAGAGTTTAATAGGTCAGGGGTGGACCCTGAAATTTGCCTTACTTAGAAGCTCCCAGGTGATGCGATGGTGCTGGTCTGGGGATCACATGTGCAGAATTATAGCTATTAACACACAAACTCCTCTACATTACAATTTTAGGCTTTATTTGTATTTTGTCTGGAATGAGTCTGGAATTATTTTCTGCATGTCAATTGATCTCAGGCAGATTCTGATTCCTTGGGGCAGGGATTATCTGTTTCATCTTCCACACTAGTTAGCGTATTGTTGGACATAGTGTAAATGAAGTATATATTGAGAAGAACTTCAGAGAATTTGGTTTTTACAAGCATACAGGGATCAACTAAAGTTAATTTTAGGATTCCCACATTTTGCAAAAGAGCATCCATTTTTTTTCGCACCATTCACATTTGCAGAGAAAAATCTTAATGTACTTCAGCCATCTCCCAACCTCACGAAAGAAAAGCTTCAGTCTTGATTTAGGAAAAAAAAAAGTTCATTCCTTCATCCTTCCAAACAAGGTACAGTACAACTGACAACAATACACATTACTGAAAAACACAACTGCATTTTATATTGCTCACTACTCTTTAAATAAGTATAATTCAGATATTAAAGAAAAGAACTGCTAATCACATTAATGCATTACAGAAATCAAAATTAACTTACCACACAAAATAAATTAAAACATTAAATATTAACCTTTTCAGTGCAACATATACAGAAGTCAGAGTAACAAGTTCTAAAAAAAACAAAAGCATTGGGTTTGTTATAATAAGATAATGAAAAGTTGAACATTTCAGTATTATTACACTAGGAAGAGGCGTTGTGTTCAGTACCATGTGTGTGTTTACCATGAGACCTTTTAGAAAGCCTGATGAAATCAGGGGCTAGAGAACAGGTCTTCTATTAGAACATTAAGAACAAATATATGTGTTCCTCTTGTTTTTGTGATGTCCTCCTTGGTCCTGGGCTTTTGAATCACCCCCCTGACCCCTCCTCGGCTGAGCAGGTTGGGAGAAATCAAAGCCCAGATCCCACTATGGGATCAGGGTCTCCTGAGCAGTGTTGGAGCCTCTTTGAACTGTTCCTGTCAAGATGGCCTGGAAGAGCAGCCAGCGGTCCACATGCAAGGAAGCAGCCTGGACCCGGTGGAAGAGCAGCCAGTGGTACATGTGCACTGAAGCAGCCTGGACCCGGGAAACCTGAAGATGCAGACACTTGCTCCACCTGCATAGACCAGGCTCCCAAAAGCTCTGGAGGTACACCTCCTCCCTCACCAATGCAGGTGGGGTAATGTCAATTCTTCCGTCTTCTTTCATGGGAAAATAGACTCTGGGGACATTCTGCCCCTCTCCTCTGCTGGCCCACAGTGGCAAGCTCAAGTCTTGCTTGTTTACCACATGTGTTCAAATATGTCTTCCAGATCAGGATTGGCTGCTGTATATCCTTCCATCTAGAAGAAGACATTTCCTGCCAGCATGCTTAAGGAAGTCACAGCCTGTCCAGCAATGGGAGAATCCAGGCTCCACTGAAGATTTGGAAGCAGTCTCTCCCTTCCCCCGCCCCTTTTAAATGGGGGTTTTGCATTTCTCCTGAGACAGATATTGGAAACAGCTGTGTTCCCCATCCCCCAGTGTGCAGCTGCTTACCAGGTCAGATCTTGGGAACAAGTCCCTAATCATAATGAACTAGGCTTTGTAAAAAGCAAAGAAACACAGGGAACCTACAGAGTTGGATTAGAAGATGATTTTTAACCTGAAAAGGGGGCATTTTTATATTTAACCAAAGAAGTACCAATGCCACAAATGGCATAGGAATCCAATGCTTAGTGGCCATTCTGATTTCTAAGAGAAAACTCACTAAAGAAGCAAGGTTCTCACATCCTGGACATGGACAAAGGTCCACCCGGGCATGCCTTGACCCCAGCCTCCGCCTGCAACTCTCCCAGGGTGTCACACACCTGAGCCCGTGCGCTGCAAGGCTGTATCAGCACTGGAAGGGTGGAGGGGCACCAGCAGCTGTGACTGGAGCATTTACAGACCCTAAGTGTGAAGTCCCCACAGGAAATCAGGGAGGTTCTTGGTTCTCACCTCCTCACCCTTCTGCAGAGGCTCTCAGGTGCCTACAGACTGGACACTGATCCTTGCATCCAGTAGATGGAGAAAACCCCACAAGACATTCTCAATATCAGTTCTTTCTCTTGAAAGGCAACCAGACCTCAAACAGTCTCTAAAAGACTGAGGAAAGATTGTTCTAAAGTAAAAATGTGATTTCAAGTTAAAAACCAGTGATGCCACTCCACTTTCATTAGTCTCTCTACACCGGAATCAGACTTTCAGGAGAGTCTGATGAAAAAAGGGGGGGCAAACTGGGGTCCACAAACCAGTGTCAACTGCATCGGTCTCCAGGGGTGAAGCCCCAGCCCTCAGATCCACTGCTGTAGGACCTGTGTAAGGAATGCAAACTTAAGCATATATTCTCTCATGACTAGACCCTAGGAGCTATGTCAGTTACACTGCTGGCGAACAGATCCCATTTCTAATCTCGGTGCTTTGGGTACAGCGTCATTCAATACAAGTGCCAGAATTGCGACACAGGTCATATAATTTTCTCAACAGAGAAAATGCATTGAAATGGATATACTGGGCAGAAGAATTCCAGGAGGACAAAATGACCTGGGAGGAATTTCAAGCTCACTTGACATATTTTAAAAGTCCCTTTCATAAAGTGAGGAGCTAGAGGCACTGAAGGGTTAATAGGTAGTGATCTCCCATTTTTCAAATATTAGTGAATAAGAGTTCCCTCGCATAAGGAGTTTATAAATTATTTCATTGTTTCCCTGTTTCCAAATTTTCATAACAATTCCTAGGGATGAGCTCCACCATGAAGTTGGAGTGAACCGGGGTTTCCCACAAGCAGGCCCACTGGGTTGGAAAGTACCCAGGAGAACAGTTTCTCCTTCTCTGAGGGAAAAGCAAGACTCACATGATGGAGGCAGCTTCTTAAGAGTTTTTGTTTTAAAACAAAAAACAAAAACCTAGCATCCTGAATGGAAAAGAAAAATAAAATCACTGGAATATTTCTCCTAATGCTTAAAAATAAATAGGAAAGTTCAATTTGTCCTTTTCAAAATAAAGCAACAAATCAACCAAGTAACAACGTGGAAAATAAGTGACTGGTCCCCTTTCATGGGTGCAACCCCAGACGCCTGCTGCTCTCTGTTAAAGTTCTATGTCTAAACAGATTCTCGGACAGCCCACCAGAAGGTTAATAGGTTTAATAAGAGCGGTGTAGTCACTGTTGTGTTTCCTCCTTGTAGATACACACACAGACTCTCTTCCTCTTCCTCAATAAGGTGCCAGGTCTTCACTGTAAGACCTGCTAATTTTTCAGCAGGAATGTATCCTGGGGCATTTACCAGTTTTGTGTATTAAACGGCATGACCTCTGAACCCCAAGCTTTGCTCCCATCAGTAACTCCTCCTTGCTTCCATCTCCACCCATCTTGGTGCTCTCCCCCTGCCCACCAAGTTTTATCTGTCCCAAATCAGTCTAGTTTTTTGGCCAGCAATACATGGATCATTGATGTAGATGTCTGAAAGGCTTTTACGCTTTTTACACTGACTTAAGAGATTAAAATAAAATCATCATCCATCTAATAAATAAATTATCTCTGAGGATGGTGACAGCTCAGGAAGGTCTTCAGCATCATGTGTCCATGGAAGACACTGGGCTGGTTGAGGGTTTCATGACAGAGGACTGGTATGGCTCCTCCTCCACTGGTGTCTTCATGTAGCAAAAAGCAGTGATGCTATTTTTCACCATTTTCCCCAATAAGCAGATAAGAAAAAAACTGTAACAATTATAGGAACTCCAGTGTCGGGCACGATGGAGACTTGTGGGGAGACAGGTCTGGTATCCGTAACTGGCAGAACACACCTACACACACCTGGATGCAGATGACGAAGCACATAGGTCATTAGGTAAATAGGAGGTCCACCCCATGCCATTCATTTCTGACCAGTCTTTAAACTGTGGTCCACCGATTTCTTCTCCAGGTCGCATCGGATAACCCCAAGCAGACAGAGTTCTGGACAGAATTTTGAAGGAAGGCCCACATAAGACAAAAAGCCTGCACAGGCGATGGCAGGCGGAGAAGGAAGGGCCTGCTGACCCACGCCTGGCAGCCCTGGCTGTGCCGAACTCAAAAAGTCCTTTTTCCCTCTGGCTGCTGCAGGCCACCTGGCAGAACTCCTCCTCTGGGCTCTTCAGACCACTGGAAGGAAGGAAAAACAGGTTAAGGTCTGCAGGCCACACTCCAGCCAGGCTGGGAAAACTGGCATGGGGAAAACTTGGGGATGCACCAGCCCAAGTCACTGGATACTCTTGGGCAGTCAAATCCACATTCTGTTGGTTCGACCACAGGGGCAGTAGCTCCTGAATCTGTGCTTTCAGCACCAAAGGAAAGAAGGAAACAGGGACACACACTGTGTGAAGGCCTTCATTCAACTGGAGGTACTTCAGCCCCGTCTGCAGCCAGTTCCCTCATCAGCAGCGGCTTAGTGGGCAGCTCATGAGCTGGTCAAGGGCTCTGGCAGCAGAATGGCTTCCTCTAAGGCCGCTGTTTCTCAGTGGTTGGGCCCTCTGCGCCTGTCACGGGAAGCAGGATGCACCCAGTCCCCAGCAGCTCCAGAGTCCAGTCCAGCCTGGACATCTTCCTGCACTGGCCTCTCCCGGGTTCCCTGGAGGTGGAGCATACCCATCACCTTAAGAAGAGGGGGCTTTAGCCTTGGTGGCCATCTCTGCAAGGTCAGACCCATCTCTGGGTTCAAAGCCAACATTCTCTCAAAATGTAAGTAAAGAAGTGACATTAACAAGAAATTTACTCCACCCTAAATGACTCTGCCAAGGGGCAGACTGAGGGTACAAAAATACTATCAATTTTCTTAAAAAGTCATACACAATTTTTTCCTGTTGGTGTTAAAAGACAAAACAAAAATGCTTATCTTCATTAGCTCAATGCATGGTCCCCCGAGGTAGCGAAAGAAATGGGAGTGGGGACTTCAGAGGCCCTGGGTCTCATCCTAGCTCCCCCAGGGACTCAGACCTTCCACACACACCTTTGGCAGACTCAGTTTACCCACACCTTCCTCAAGACTACTGAGAGGATCAATGAATTAGCACCTTCCTAAATCAAAACAACCGCTCACACACAATTACTATGGCTCTTGAAATGAAGATCAAGTAAACGGAGGTCACTTGCCTTCAGTTCCCTCCAGGTCAGATCACCAGGAGGCCTAAGGAATAGAGCAGGTACTTTTCTCCCTGCCCACTCCATGCAACCTTGAGCTGACTGTTTAGTAGAGAAGCCACCCTCAGGTGGATGAGGCTGGGGTGACTGTCTCTTGACGAACCACTTCCTAAAAAGGAACGCTAAGTTTATGACAGTCTTTTTGGTCAAACAAGCATTCCAGAAACTCATTCATGTGTGACTTTTCAGAGCCTGTCTGGATTAATTTGCTATTTGACTCCAGGAGCCCGGAGCTAGGGATGCTTGGAGAAGGCTCTGGAGATGTGAGTCTGGCATCCTAGCCAGATGTCCAATCTTTTTCACGGATGTTGGAGAAAGTATTCATGGAACAATGGTAAGCTGAATGAAGATCACAGGATTCTAAGAGTTCAGAGTCCTTCAAGTCCTTCTAAAAGCCCCATCTCTCATTTCATTGATGGGAAAGGGAAGATGATTTCTTAAGAGAAAGAGAAAGAATGTCTGTTGTGTGTCTCCAGTCTGTGATACACCAGGTTCTTTATCTCAGTATTTATTTAATTTGCACGACATCTTTTTAATGAGAAAACCAAGGCTCAGAGACATTAAGTTACTTGTTAAAGGTCACATGGTCACAGGTAAGGATAACAGAGCTACCTTCTGAGGAAAAGCCACATTGGAATAAACTGAATCTGACTTGGTAGGATAAATATCCTCTTCTTTTTCTCCCTTCTTTCTGCTTCACCCTCCAAGAACTTCTGCCCTGACTTGGAGAAGGCAGACCTTTTCTCTACCCAATAGTGTCTCCCGAGGGAAAAGTCCTCCCTCGAGGCAGCTTCCTTACCTGTTTCTGAGTGGCAGCAAGCAGTCCGTCCCTTCAGGAGGGCGCTGGGCTTCTCATGCCGGCAGACGAGTGCCCGGCACCACTCGCAGTGTTTTCGGACCTCGCAGCAGCTGCAAAGGTGCAGAGAACATGGGCTGGGTAGGAGCCCGCAGGAGTGCCCAGCTGGTGCAGCGTCTGCCGGAGGGGTCTGCCGGGCTGCTCCGGGCTCTAACCCATCCTTCCCCTGGAGCTTCCAGAGGGACAATCACAGCACAGGGCTGAGGGCTTTGCAAGGAGGTGGCCTTCGGGGCCACTCGCGGAAGGATCTGTTGGCCACCCCAAAGACCGGCTCTGCGTGGCCGTTCCTGTCTGGGTTGGCCAAATGGGCTCCAGTCGACAGAGGGGACCGGTCACTCCCCACCCCCACCCCGGCGGCCCAGCTGTTTGCTCCATAAAGCAGCAGTTGGGTCACTTAGAACCACTGTCAGGACTGGGCCAAAACAGCCGCTTCAGGCTGGCAGGGCTGTGAAGGCTCGGGACGGGGGTCATCCATCAGGAGCAGCCAGCGAGCAGTAAAGCAGGGACTGTGGGTAGACTGCATGGACCCACGGAAGGAATGAAAGAACGAGCCAAACTAGATCTTTTTCCGCATACTGACACTCTGGTCGTGGCAAACCCATCCTCTCAGCGCACCTGTTACCCATATTTCCAGGGAATATCAGGCCAGTATTCTGGCTCAATACTGGAAATACAACCCTCGGGTCTGTCCCTTTGCAGAGCAGTCCAATTGGGAAATATAGGCAAGCAAATGAGGCTAAAAACACCCAAAAGGGGGTTCAGGAAGGCTTCCTGGAAGATGCCAGGCAGCGACTGAGGTCTGGAGGAAGGGAAGAGGGAGTAAGAGCAACAGTGGCTTTAGGATTTGCAGAGAGGAAGTGTGACTTAACTGCACACAGGAGGCTCGGAGCCTTTTCCAATTCCCTCTGGAACCCCTGCACACCCCCATCACAACGGTGAAGGCTCCAAGCGTTTGACTCTGCTTCCAGTCAGAGCTCTGCTCTGACCCATTTGCTGGAGATCTCCTGGGCTGTGTGCCCTTCATACCACTCAGCTTTCACCAAAATCCCTCTTCACTTCGCTAACACCAACCAGACATCACAGCAGTAAACTGCCGAGGTGGCCCTGCTACCTGGGAGCGCTGCAGATGGCCCCGGGAAGGCAGGCAGGTGGGGGGCCCGGGCTCAGGGGCAGTGAAGACTTACTGTATCAGCACACACGTGATGATGAGGACAGCCAGGGCCACGATGGAGACCACCACCAAGGCAGTGATGGCCTGCTTCTTCTGGCTGGCAGCCACCACGGCCAGGAGGTCTGCGTGTTCACAGCGTGCACCGACGTACCCAGAGTGGCAGCTGAGGAAGACAGGGACATCAGCACCCTCTCTGGGCAGAGGTCTCATTCACCCCACTCACCAGGAGGACTGGACTGGAGAAACCCAAGTCCTACAAAAAAGCCCAAAGGGGCCCCTCCAGCCTTAGCTACTGGAGGAAAAGGTGTCAATAAAATCGCTCCGACTCCCCCGCATAGGTTTCTCTTGCTTGGAGAACGAGGTAACTCATCAGCTTATCATCTGCGGAGGCAAGGTGCTACTGAAGCACTTTGTTATCATGGTTACTATGCCAGATCCTGGGGGAGTGAGGAAGGCAGCAAATGTGTCTAGGACGTGAAGCTCATTTTGGCAGTTCATAAAAACCCAGGTTATTTTTAAACTAAATGTGTGTAGTCAGAATTCCCAGTGATGAGAGAAAGAAAACACGCTAAACCAGCAGGAGACAAAGACTGTGGCTTGATTTTTTATCTTCTTTGTCAGGGTTAATTAGTCCTGCAAGCATTTACCAGGTGATCCAGTGCACAGGGGCACATACTGGGGTAGAATCAGCAGCACTGTCTGGTAACTGTAGGACCTGAAAAGCCCCAGGGGTCTTACATTTGTGATTCCCTTAAACCTGGGCTTCCAGACTCCAGATGCCAGGAGTCACAGGATAAATACAGGGTATTTTCCTGGAGCATAGCTTTTGCTCAATGTTAACAAAAGTTTAATCATTTAATGTTAAAAGAACAGGTACTGTATGGGTTTACTATTAAGGCAAAGAGGAGATGTTGCAAAAATGGCTGCTTAAGACCACAGCCTGGGATACTGGAGCATACAGCTTCAGTCTCTAAGGCTGCTTAATGGAAAAGTTTCCCACTGGTGCTCTTTATTCCAAAGCTCAATTGTTATGTACCTCATTTAAAGGCATTTTTAGTTTGAATTCAGGTACTTGCTTTCAGTTAAAGATTAATTTACATTTGACCCATGTTTTCTCATTTAGTCTTTGCACAGAAAAGTCAAGTCATTTGCTTGTGACCACCACGCCAGGGAGGCTCAGGAGGTAACGAATCTCCTGCAGTGTCGGGGAGCCTGGTTCAATCCCTGGGTCAGAGAGAAGATCTCCTGGAGAAGAAAATGGCCACTCACTCCAGTATTCTTGCCTGGAGAACTCCTTGGACAGAGGAACCTAGTGGGCTACATAGGGTTGCAAAGAGCCAGACTCTGCCAAGGAAGAGAGAGAAACACATTCCCAGATCTGTGGACCCCAGGGTCTGGGTTCTGGCTCACTCAGCAAGCTGCTGCCCCTGTATACTACCTGGGATTGGGATAAAAACACTGCAGATTAAGTTCTTGATCTTGAAACAGTAAAGGAGATTTGAGGTTTTAGGTCCAACAATGCAGGGTTCTCCATAGACCTAAGGAGAGAGCAGGCTCTGGGGAGGAGGAAGATGCGGGAGTTCTGGCAAGAAGACTTTGCTTGAGAAAGGATCTGGACCACAGAAGTGTGCGTAAGAGCACAGACTCTCACAGGCTCAGGCTAGGAGGGAGATGACCGGGGCATTATGAAACAGGGGCAATTTTTTTTTGGTTGGTTGGTTTTAATAACAGGATCACATGAAGGCCAAAGTCAGAAAACAGCTCACCCTGTAGGCGGTGGAGAAAACAAAGGCACTGGTCCCTTCCCACCAGGAGAAAGTTAAAAGTGTGGACTGAACTTGAGACTGAGAGGCGATAAACAGCAGGCACAGGTGATGCACAAGCTGTGAGTGTCTACAGAGAATCTTGCAAAGGATGCTCCCACCAGCCATTCTGAGTTTTCACTCTGCACCCTGACGGCTCTCACCTGGGTTGTGGGCTTCCTCCTCCTTTCATTTAGCATCCAACACCCCACATCTGCAGGACCCTAATCTACCCCCTCTACTTTATCTTCTGTCACTTAGATTTCAGCCAACCCATCAGTCCCCCACTCCCCAGTGTCAACTAAACTAGTGCCAGCACATAGACACTTAGGACATACCTGTCTGTGAATGAATGAGTGAATGAATGATTACCTTCCCCTTGTCCATCTCAGCTCCTGCTACCTTCTCTGCCTGAGACATTATTCCTCACTTCCTTCCTCAAACTCCATCTCAAAGACCACTTTCTCCAAGAAGATATAAATTGAAGACTCACTCATTCATTCATCCATCCATCCACTTTCCAAAGCTCTTTCCATTGATCTTTATAGCCTGTCTTTCCCTAAAGGCCCTTAGGACTATGCCAACCTCTGTGACTGCCCTTCCTGCCAGCTTCACTGGAGGCCAGCCTCTAGGCTCCTGCAGGAAAGACCGAGCTCTACAAAATTTCTGGTGAACCACTGAACAGAAGAGGGTTGGGGAGCCTGGGCTTTGTTAGATGTCTAACCAGGAATTGTGGCCAAGTCAATGAGACTTCTCTGTAGTTGTGTGTTGGTGTTGCTTCCTCCTAGAGAGGTGAGTGTGATGACAATTTGCACAGCCATTCATGAAAGGTCCAAGCTGTAGGAGAGGCAATTTCACCCATCTTAAACTCCTCTAACCCACAGGCCCTGGGAGAGAAGGATTCAAACATCTCCTCAACTGCCTCAACTGCTTGGTTCTGGAAATGCTATGAACCAACAAATCACTGCTGGGGGCTCCAAGAAATCCTATTTAAATAAAAGAGTGGGAGCCAAGTGCTAATTACAACATTAGCTTATTGAAGACTATGCTAAACTCCTACATGAATCATCTCTGTTAATCCCAATAATAACAACTGCATGTGAGGTCTGGGCAGCTATTTACCTTGTTTTACAGATGGGGAAAGAGGGTGGGGAGTGGATTCTAGAGTTTAAAAACTAAGGATCTCAACTGTGAAGGAGACCTTTCTGGTGTAATGCAAATTGATTTGGAAGATACTCTTGGATATTGATTCAATGGCAAACTCACAAACCACATAGCAAAAGGGAAGATGGGCTGCTGACTGCCCTGTAAAGAGGTCTTCCTGCTGTGGGTATAGCAAATTGCAAAGATGCCCCCAAACAATGCCATCTTAACTCACCAGGAAAGACAGCCCCCAGACTGAGTCACACTTTGCTGACTTTCTTGTTCTTCCTAACATGTGAGTGCTGGGCCCTTCACAACCAGCCTTGCGTCAGAACTGCTCCAGTGGAGGTCCGAGCCCATTAGGAATGTCTTCATGCCAAAAAGAATGCCTCTTTGTCCCCTTAGGGTCACAGCTGCAAACACTCAAACCCCAGTCTCATTGAAATAGGGTGCTCAGTGTGTTTCTGAATGAAACCTTCCCTGGTGAGGCACGAGAGTTACATGAGTTGTTGCCAAATATTGGGTTGGCGAAAAACTTCATTTGAGTTTTTCTGTAAGACCTGTTGGCCAACCCAGTACATAAGACTCTAGGTCACAGCCTAGGTGGGCTTTTCGAGCAGCGAGTCTTAGCACCAAGCAGCCCAACTGCACTGGGAGGCAGAATAGCCTGTGGTCTAGACACTCGAGCTTCTCCCAGGACCTCCCAGATCAAAGCCTCTCTGAAAATGGAGCCTGGGGTCTTAAAGAAACGGCTGAAGGGATTCCCATGAAGCCAAAGTTGAAAGCTACCATGAAGGCTGACCAGTGAAATCAACTCTAGCTGCACATTGGAATGGCCTGGGGAGCGTGGGAAAAAAAAACAAAACCTTGATGTCCAGGCCACACCCCAGACCAAGTAAGTCAGAGTCCCTGGGAGTAAGGACTGGCAACAGTATTTTTAAAGCTCCCAGATGATTCCAACGGGCAGCCAGGGTTAGACTTTCTAAGACAATTTAGACTTGCTGGTTTGGGGATGGACAGAGGTCCTTTTTTTCCCCACCACTCATCTGTAATATAGGCAGGCTTCTCAGTTGCTCTTACTGGGGCGGGGGCGTGGCAGAGAGAAAAGGTTTGGTGACAAACATTTTTTAAAAATTTCCCAAGCTTCTACTAATATTAGACTTAATTATGCCAATTATTTTAGCATAAGTCACACAATGAGAGGAAGCATCACCTCACCTGGTCACAAATGACTCACGCTTGACTCAGCTGCTGTCTCAACCTCAGGTAGGCACCAGATACCACCTGGCTGCACATCAGAATCACTTGGGAAGCTTTGGAAAATGCCAAGGCCAAGGCCACACCCTTGGAGATGCCCCTGACCAAGTGGTCTGGGCACACAAGTGACTCTAATGTGTGGCCAGGTCTGAGAACCACTGAGACAGAATAGTCATTTAAGTAGTAGACTCGAGAGCAACACTCCAAAGTCTGCCCCTTTCCCCTCTCCCCGCTATTCCTATCTCTCTCTGGGCATTTCCCCAGGGCGGGAGCTGTACAATGGGCCTTCTCATTCAGGTGCAGGAGAAACCTGAGATGCAGCACCTCTGTTTAAGAAAGGAATCTGAATAAAATAGGAATTATTCTGTCACCACGGAGAATGGCAAATGTGTAAGCCTGAACATTTTTTAAATACCATTTGACCATTCTATTTCATCTGTTGAGAATGGGTATGTCAAACACAAGGAATGCTGAGTTTGTCTTCAGCTGAAGATGAGGGGCCATGTGCTCCAACCAGGGGGTCCCTGGGACCGTCTCTTCTGTGTGCTGATTCAGCCTGGAGGTGGCTTTGGTGCTTTCTTAGGAGCAAACGACAAAAATTAAATGATGAACGACATGCCTCTCTTTCTCCTCTGCTCAGGGCTTTCAGACCTTCTAGCCCTGTCCAGTTGCCCAGTTTTCCCCTCTAAGTCCCCTTCGCACCTGGCTCACGGTGCCTTTTAAAATTTTAAAGAAATGGTGATAACGCATGTAGAGCTCTGCCCTTATAATTTTTTTTCTTCTTAAGGAAAATATCCTCTAATTAGAAAAATAATGTTTCTAAGTAAATTATAAAGTACATAAATTATAATAGAGTGGAGAGAAAAAGAAAGTCCACATTACTGCACATCTGACTGACAAGTACTTCTTCTACATAGTTTTCTTAACATAGTTAAGATTTTTAAAAAATATTATTTTGTAT